GCAGCTCAACATTCCTTCGTTTCTAGTTCTAAAGTGACGTTTTCGAATTAGTAAAGGATCTTGCTGTTAAACTATCAAACTGAGATTTGAATCTGTGGCGGAAGGAAGTAGTTCTGCACTAAAAAAGGGTTTTTAAAGACACTCCGTTGTTGTCTCTCTTTTTATTTACGTACTTGTTCTGTCGAACTGTTGTATAAACGCAATATCACACTCGTAGCCATGCGATATGGGTGTATATCGGCACGCTGTGATTACATGCGGCCTTGTGCTGCTACTTGTGTGATATTGCTCATATATATATATATATATATATATATATGTGTATGTTTGTGTGTGTGTGTGTGTGTGTGTGTATGTATGTATGTATAATATGTTTATGTATTTTTATGATTGATAAAATGTGATATTTGTACATGGAATATATATGAAAATTTAAAATATTAATAAGTGTTAAAATGTTATTAATTATTAAATTAATTTACAAATATATAATTGTCTGATTATAATTGTATCTATTAATATTTAAATGAATATATACACCAGCATTCAAAAGTTTGGAGTTGGTAAGATTTTGTTAATATCTGCTCGCCAAGGCTGAATTTATTTAATAAAAAATCAGTAATATTATGAAATATTTTAGTAATTTAAAATAACTGTTATCTATTTGAATTTATTTTAAAGTGTAATTTATTCCTGTGATCAAAGCTGAATTTTCAGCATCATTACTGCAGTTCAGTGTCACATGATCCTTCAGAAATCATTCTAATATTCTGATTTGCTGCTCAAGAAACATTTCTGATTGTTATCATTGTTAAAAAGAGTCGTGCTGCTTCATATTTTTGTAAGACATTAGATTTATTTGTTGTTGAATAGAAGTTTCAAAAATAACAGCATTTATTTGAAATAGAAATCTTTTGTAATATTATAAATGTATTTAAATTTGGGATAAAATATTTTCCTATGTTATATTAGACCATATATATTAGTTTTTTTCTGGCAATATTCTATTATTTTCTGTATAGCATGCTTTTTCACTAATTAGTATTGAAAATCCCAAGTTATATTTGGGATAAAATATTTTCATATTTTATATTAGAACATATATAGTTTTTATAGCATTAGCCTATATGTTTTGTATATGATAGCATGCTTTTCTGGTAATTAATATTGAAAATATATATGTTGCATACTCAGATAGCTCTGAATTGCTCTTGCTTCATTTCGTCACACACACAAACCGAACGCTTTGTTCCAATCCATTTAGTGCGAGTCTCATGTTTTGCCGTGGATGATTTGTGGAGCTGTATGGATGAGCTGTACTCTGATCGTCTATATCTGCCCACCAGCAGCCGCTTTTGATATCCGAGTGTGTCTGTTGTAGGGCTGGACAATAATTCAATATCAATATGTATCGCGATATAATTTTTTTCAGTAATGGTGATAGGATTTTTAAACACATTCCGATATTTAGATATACATTACCAGTGTTTCCCATACATTGATTTATTTGTGGCGTTTGACTTAATTGGATAAACATGAGCACTGCACGTTTCAAAATCAAAACGCGTCGCGGGTGTTTTATATGAATGTATCTCTGAAGGGAACCGACTGTCTTCAGAATAGTTTAGATTGCATTTTTATCTGATAAAGTAGCGTTCATGAGCGGAGCTGCTTTGTTTACAGCCATTACTGGAGAAACCGTTAGTTCCACCGCTCTCACAGCATCTCCCGCTGGCAGACAAGCAGTTTGCATTTTCAATAATAAACCCATTTCCAGCAACATGCTTTTGTTGTTGCACTATTTTGTTGTTTTCTGAAGCAACTCGGAGCATGTTTCATACTCGTTATCCTGGTTAATGCACGTTTCAATCTATAAGAATAATCAGCCTACACTACCAGTCAAAGGTTTTTGAACTGCAAGATTTTTAATGTTTCTTAAAGAATTATCTTCTGCTCACCAAGCCTGCATTTATTTGATCCAAAATGCACCAAAAGCAGTAACATTTTGAAATATTTTTACTATTTAAAATAACTGCTTTCTATTTGAATATATTTTAAAATGTAATTTATTCATGTGATCAAAGCTACATTTTTAGCATCATTACTCCAGTCTTCAGTGTCACATGATCCTTCAGCAATCATT